AAGCAGTCAGTTGTATAAAGTGCTACACAAATAACCATGATGTTCACTAACAGTATACTACTGCTCAGATATTTCTTACAACTTTGCTGTAAGTTTATTGAAGTCTTAAAGGTGAGGTCACATTTAACACAGTTTCACGAGCAAAATCAAGTCATTCCAATAGGAATCCTTGCATTTTGGGGTTTTGCATGAGGGCAAAACAGTTCTCCACACAGATTTCCACTCGTGTTTAAGTTGGTCACTCAAATTCACCATATTGACCAAGAGAAAGCTGCTTGGTTTGAAAGTGACTTCTTTGTGGGCTGTGCTACATCTTTGTGCTGATGACAATAGACAATGGACGTTTTTTTTTTTTTTGGATGTTTTAATCTGACCGCACCTCAAGGCTTTAGAAATCCTGAAGAGCTCCAAGTTATGGAAACTGGCAGAAGTACTTTTTCACTCACAGTCTTCAGTCAGCAGTTGTTAGTAACGTCCCTTGCGGTTCAGATGCAAAGATGCTCCAAGATGAGAGACGTCATGGTAAATTAAACTCTGAAGCTTAGAAACTCTGGCTCCACATTTCTGAGGTTTAATTTCTGGAAGCCCAGGATGATTCCCTGTCACAAATGAAATGTTTATGCTGCAATGCATGGCCAGAGGCACATGCTGTTATAGTTTAGACACACTCTCATTAGAAAGAATAACCATGGATGATTGCATACCAACACACACACTGCCTGTGGAGACACACAGACACGCACGTTGGGAAAAAAACAAGTTCCCAAAAATATCAGTCACATGTCCCCTGTAAATCCTGGCTTATCTGTTGTAGCGTCTGGGATTTCTGGTTTCCAGAGGACATGTCTCTGCCTCCGTGCTGCTTTCGAGTACGAATGGGGAGATGGAGGAAACGCTATTGAATAAAATATGTATTTATGGGTCACGTGCCATAATCTAAATCATATTAATCTCTGCTCAATCATTGGGGTCAGCGTAATTTCTGGTTGCTGCTCAAGTGATTGTTGATAATGTTCCATTACAGAGCATTTGTGGACAGTGATTCAATACAGTAGTGGATGCTATTAGTTACGATTTGTAGAGAAGGAAATTACACTTTCTATTTGAAGCAGACTCATATTAGGGTAGTTTACTAAAGTAAATGCTTCTGATAACAACTTTTGAGTGCATTCCTGATGCGTTTTTGACCATTGTTGACCTGATGAGCAGTAAAAAAGGCTCAGTACTTGTTTTTACCCAGTGTCCTCTGCTCTGACAGGAGGACTATGATCGCCTGCGACCCCTGTCCTACCCCATGACAGATGTCTTTCTCATTTGCTTCTCTGTGGTGAATCCAGCCAGCTTCCAGAATGTGAGAGAGGAGTGGGTCCCTGAGCTGCAGGAGTATGCACCCAACGTCCCTTACTTGCTCATTGGTACTCAGGTACGCACACCTGCTGCTACATATGGCAATAATATTCTATATACTGTACACTTTTTGTAACTGAATGTGAAACAGTGCAGAAAATTGCAACAGAAACATTCCAGATACCAGTTCTAATGCCATGGCGAAAGTTTGAGCAAAACATGCCAACTGTTCTGTCTTTGGCCGCACAGACTAGCACAGAACACTATTTACATTCCCAGCCTCAGAGGAGACGAGAGCAGTGGATTTATTGACTTATTTAGGCTACTGTATATTGCACACAGATCTAAAATAAACAAGCGATTTATTTCCCAGCTGTTTACCTTCACAGACATAACCGACTGTTTTTGTAACTCGTGTGTTTTTAACGTAAACTTGTGTGTGAATGAGAACTTAGTTTAGTACTCACATGCTGTGACATCAGCTTTCTGTCCTTGTGCTTCGGATGTGTGTGCTCAGAAAACCTGATATCTTAAGTTTAAACTCATATGGTTTAAAACGCATGATTTCAGTGCGATAAACATGATAATCAGAACCAAAACAGATGTTTTTAGCAGATACGAGCTGTAAAGGCGCAGCTCTATTCTGGAAAAGGGGGCGGGGAGCAGCAGCTCATTTGCATTTAAAGACACAGGCCCGAAAAACAGCTTGTTTCTGCTTCCACTCAAAATAGGAATTTTCAAAATGATATAATAAATGATCTGTGGAGTATTTTGAGCTGAAACTTCAGACACATTCTGTGGACACCAGAGACTTATATTACATATTGTAAAAAGGGGCATAATATGTCACCTTTAAAGGAAACCTTTTCAATTTGTGCTCCACACGCCTAATTGGATGATGTGAAGGAAGTACTGCTCTGTGTAGTGGTTTGGTAATACCTCAGTGGATGTATGGAGAGCAGCTGGCAAAAACTCAAACTTAGATGAAGTGGAATTTTAATTGGAAACGGAAGATGGAGACCCTCCTAGCAACTGCAGTGGTACTTTTTAGGTGAAAGGGGAGTCTGCAGACGCATGCCACCTTCGGGTCTTTGGTTGAATTTCCTCTTGCCTTCTGCTCTAAAAACAAACCTCATCGTATGGAATCTCATCCGTCATCCTCAATAGAAATGCAGAGAGCACATGTGCTCATACAGTTAACCCCTCACGTTGAGCTTGCTTAACTGTGAATTTGTCTCCGTTTCCATTTTTGGCTGTAGATTGACCTGCGGGACGACCCCAAGACTATTGCCAAGCTGAACGATGTGAAGGAAAAGCCCATTGTGACAGAACAGGGCCAAAAGCTAGCCAAGGAGGTGAGGAAAATGGATACTTCCTTTTTCTCAAGTACAAAATAAAACTGAAACTTTGTTCTGCGAAAAAACTCAGACATGGGTCAAAAGGAAAGCGAAAAGATTGTCATGACTTACTGGTTTGACCTAAAAAGTTGTCTCATTTCTGTGACTTTCCAGATTGGTGCCTGCTGTTATGTTGAATGCTCAGCACTGACACAGAAAGGCCTGAAGACTGTGTTCGATGAGGCCATTATAGCCATTCTGGCTCCTAAGAAAGGTGCGCTCAAGCGAAGACTGGGCCCACGCTGCATCAACTGCTGCCTCATCACATGATACACCAGCTCAGGGGCACCAGTGAAAGAAAGCAAGAACTGACAACCAACCAGATTTCAATCTGACTTCTGAACTAAAACATGGTGAACCAATGGGCCCAGTCACCTACGACTGAAATATGAAAAGTCCAAGTTATGGGCGAATGACAAGAAGAACTGACAAAAAGACACATTGTTCAGGAAGAAATGACAAAGGAACACTAAACATTGAGATGGAATACAAAGAAAACGGACAAAATGATTTATTGAACATGCAAGCACACAGAACAGATGTCTGAGACACCCTTTCTAATGACTAAGAACAATCAAACCGTATTTCTGTGTCTGGCTCATCAAGCATGAGTTCGTTTGAGAGACGAAACCCAGGCAAGCCTAAACAGCACAACCAAACCCATGGGTCATTTACAGAAGTAGGACTTTTTTAACTTCAAAAAGTGAAACTCAGCATCTCAGTTTGGGTTGCAAAACAGTTGCTTTTTACAAAATGTCACAAGTTAGAAAAAGAGAGGAATGATCAAATAAATACTGCCATTAAGAGCATACGACAAATTAAATCTCTATTCTACAAAACAACAAAAACAGAAACAACAGATTTTTTTATTGTTGTAAATGTGACCTCAGAGTCAAGCATCATTTCTTGGATTTGGAGCAGGTGCTGGGACAGACAGTCGTCTTTTGACCACAGCCTGGATCTCTTTCTCTCTCAGTTCCTGGTGGCCTGTGATTGTGTCCTTTTCCTCACTTGAGCTTGTAGGTGAGCTGTTTGCGATGCCAGTGGATCCAGACAGGAGCAGCGAGGAGGCCAGTCAGAAACCCAGTAGTTGCCCCAAGGGTACAGGAAATGGGCCAAATCTGGACAGAGGAGCCACAAAATGAAGATCAAAACTGTCATTTTGCAGGAGCACAAGTGACTGACTGCAAATTCTACAGAATCACTGTGGTGTTTTACCAACCAAATTTTGTATTCGAGACTGCTTTCTTCCTCTTTCTTTTTTTAACGTTGAGTTGAGTGTTATGTATTGGTGGCCTTGCCTCTCAGGTGCGTGCCGACTGCTTTGCATTGTGAATTTTTGCTTCATATGATCAAGGTGATTTCAAATGTTATTTGATTTTTTTTTTCTTTTTTCTAAATTAATTTCTTGCAGTCCATGCAAATATGTGGAGTGGTCTGAGTGGTCTTAAAAGCTTCCAGCACATTGTGAGCAACAAAAAAAGCCTTTATAAATAGTAGATATATGGAATGCAAATTTAAAAATCAAAAGGCACAATGGTTTTATGAGAGAACATAATTAAATATGAAATTGCTGTTGATGCTCAATGCGCAGTGGATAAACAAAATGTAAATTTAATGACTTGCCTCAAAATATTTACGGACTATAAAACAGGTTTTTCTAATATTTTGTCTTTTTTTTTTTTTTTAGTCTTGTTGCTTCCTCGTATAGATTTGAATGCCTTATTTCACTCTTGCACATAAAACATTTTAAAATATGCAATTATTTTTCTGTTATATTAACTTGAAGAAAAATAATTATACTAAGTGACACAAAAATGATAAGCTACCGTTCAAAAGTTTGGGGTCTGTAAGAATGTTTTGAAAGAAATCTCTTTTGCTCAAAGTCTGCATTTTTATATGATCAAAAATACGGTAAAAACACTAGTATTATGTAATATTATTGCAATAATTCTCATTTAAATTTTTAAATGTACTTCATTCCTGTGATGCAAAGCTGAATTTTCAGCAGTCATTACTACAGTCTTCAGTGTCTTCAGAAATCATTCTAATATTCTGATTTAGTGCAACATTTTTTTATTAGTAATGTTGAAAACAGCTGAGCTGCCTTTTTTTTTTTTGGGGAAAATAAATGTTTTTTTTTGTGAACTGTACAGAAAGTTCAAAATAACAGCATTTATTTGAAATATAATGTAGTTGTCAGATTTGATGCAATTCATCCTTTCTGAATAAAATAATAATTTCTTAAAAAAATGACTGACCCCAAACTTTTGAATGATGTGTGTGTATATATAGTAACAAAATATTTAATAAGCGCTATCCATCCTCTTGTCTTCTTTTATACAGAAAATGAGATTTCCTCCCTTCATACTTGATCTCTAAATGACTGAAGATTTGTGTCTTGGAATGAAAAAAAAAATGTCAGCAAAATTGATTATTCAGTTATCTCAAGACCATAAAATGGCCTGCAATATTACAAGAGTGTCATGGCAATGAGAAGGAGTGTGAGTCACACCACTCTTCATTTCTCTAAAGAAAAGCATCTGGATTGAACCACCCCAGAGTTTCCCATCAGTTCACACTCCCATCATCATGTGTTGAGGAATCACTGTACGGCAGCCTCACTCCCACAATGAGTCCGTCTCATCTCTCTGCTCTCGTCTAGACATCTGTGTGTAGAGAGCGTGTCAGAAAGCACACATGGGAGACTTCAGTGTGACATTTTGAGGGCAAAACGAGGGCAAACACTGGCCTCTGATCAATGTCTCTGTACAACACATGAATAATTGAAGTACCAGTGCAGTCCTTCCATGCTTTGAGAACATTACATTTTTCATGAAGATTGGTTCATTCCCAACAAAATCTGTCTATGGCTATCCTGCACGATTTACTGGTTGAGAGGATGTGTATATTGTCTAAAAGGGTTCTCAGTAGTGTTAACTACACATAATTTGTTTTTTTATTTGAAAATGAACCCTAGTTTTTTAATGTTTTGGAAAGAAGTCTCTTATTCTCATCAGTTTTATATTTTAATATATTTTAAAATATATTTTTTCCTGTGAAGGCAAAGCTGAATTTCCTCCAGCTATTATTCCAAGCTCCAGTGTCACATGATCCTTGGAGTTATTCTAATATGCTTAGATTTGGTGCTCGGATATTATCAGTTATTATTGGTGCTCAATTATTAATAATGTTTTTTATTATTATCAATGTTGAAAACAATTTTTGCTGCTTAATTTTTTTGTGGAAACCAAGATTGTTTTCAGGATTCTGATGAACAAAACGTTCAATGAACAGCATTAATTTGAAATGGAAATCTTTTGTAAAATTAAAAATGTCTTTACCGTTTACTTTTGATCAATTTAATGCGTTCTAGCTGAATAAAAGTATAAATTTTTTGGTGGTATATCACGATTTTCACAAAAATATTAAGCAGCAAAATATGTTTATAACATTGATACTAATAATAAATGTTTCTTGAGCATCAAATCAGCATATAAAATAGTTCTGAAGGATCATGTGACACTGAAGACTGGAGTAATGGCTGCTGAAAATTCAGCTTTGCCATCACAGAAATAAATTATATTTCAAAATATATTACAATAGAATATATTTCACAACATTACTGTTTTTACTGTATTTTTTATCAAATAAATGCAGCCTTAGTGAGAATAAGAGAACTTTTCCAAAAACATTTTAAAAAGCTTAAATCTTGTGATATGAAAGAAGTAAAAAGATGTTATTTTAGTTGTTTTACCCATACAATGACAATCAGGGGGGTCCAAAGCAACATTGGACCACATTGGCTTTTATTTTATGGACATCAAAATATCTCATTTTGTTTTCTGCAGGAGAAAAATTAGGTTTTTCAATGACAATGAGTGAATTAATTTTATTTTTGTTAAACTATCCCTTTAAGAAGCTATAAATAAATATATAGAAAATGTTATAAACTGAAAGCATGAACAAAAAACTAAAAGTGTAACAAAACCAAAATATTTACACTGCTGTTCAAAAGTTTGGGCTCAGTAAGATTTGTAATGTTTTTTTTAAAGAAATCTAATTTGTTCATCATGGCTGCATTTATTTGACCAAAAAAATAAAAAATAGTAATATTGTAAAATATTATTACCATTTAATATACTTTAAAATTAGTGCTGTCAAACGATTAATCGCATCCAAATTAAAAGTTTTTGTTTACATAATATATGTGTGTGTACTGTGTATATTTATTATGTATATGTAAATACAAGCACATGCATGTATATATTTCAGAAAAATATGCTATGTTTATATTAAATATATTTATATATAATATAAAATAGAATAATATAAATATATAAATGTATATACATGTTTTCAAAATATATACTGTATGTGTGTGTATTTAAATATAAATAATAAATAAACACAGTAGTACACGCTACACACATATTATGTAAACAAAAACTTATTTTGGATGTGATTAATCGTTTGACAGCACTATTATTTCTGTGATGCAAAGCTTAATTTTCATCAGCCATTACTCCAGTCTTCAGTGTCACATGATCCTTCAGAAATCATTCCAATATGCTGATTTATTATCAATGTTGGAAACAGTTGTGCTGCTTAATATTTTTTTGGAACCTGTGATACTTTTTTTCAGGATTATTTGATGAATAAAGTTAAAAAGAACTATCAATTGAACACATCCTTGCTGAATAAAAGCATTCATTTCAACAAAAAAATTATTACTGACCCCAAATTTTTGAACAGTAGTGTATACAGAGCAAAAACATTTCTCTGGCATCTTCCTCCTTTCTGAGGTTTGCTGCAGCATGCGAGCAAGAGCTTTGAAACAAGGAACCCTCTTCTGAAAATCTGCTGCCACAGCAGAAATCTTCTCTCTACACTGAGCAAATGTATGTAACTTAACAATGCTCTCATTAAGCAACAAAGTTTTGAGGGGCTTTTGGTTTATCAAACAGATATGATGGAGAGTTTTCAGGAAATCATAGGGGGGGGGGGAAGACAGAAGAAATGCACTGGGATGTGACTCAAACCTGCATAACCCAGTTGAGCGCCACTTCTCAATAACCCAGAAGCATCTGCATTAATTGACATTCCTTTTCAAATGACTGGAATTTCTGAGACCAGTTGGCATTGCAATACTGCATTAGTCTCATCACACTAACCTGCCAGGGTCTGTCCCAGTCGAGAGGAATAGGGAGAGCTCCCAGCCAGGCCCCAATCACACTACAGCCAGTGGTAATCTGAAGAGAGGTGTCCCACACTGACATCGCCCTGGAAATGGCACATGCTTAACATCATAATATTGCTAATAACAAACGAACCTGAATAAAATACAGACATCACTCAAGGAACCATACCAAAAGAAGCAGTTTTCATATAAACATACACTACTGTTCAAAAGTTTGAGGTCAGTAAGATTTTTTTTTAAGAATATACTTTTATTCAGCGAGGATGCATTAAATTTACCAAAAGTGACAGTAAAGAATTTATTATTACAAATAAATAAATAAATGCTATTCTTTTAAATTTTCTATTCATCAAAGTATCTTGAAAAAAGTATCATGGTTTCCACAAAAATATTAAGCGGCACAACTGTTTTTAACACCGATAATAATAAGAAATGTTTCGGAGCACCAAATCAGCATGTTAGAATAATTTCTGAAGGATCATGTGACACTGAAGACTGGAGTAATCATGCTGAAAATTCAGCTTTTCCATTACAGAAATAAATTACATTTTAAAATATATTCAAATAGAAAACAGTTATTTTAAATTGTAATAATATTTATAATATAATATTTGTATTTTTGATCAAATAAATGCAGCTTTGAGGAGCATAAAATAATTCTTTCAAAAACATGAAAATCTTACCAATCCCAAACGTTTGAACAGTAGAGTATATATAAACATACATACATACATATATATATATATATATACACACACACACACACACACACACACACACATATACATATATACAGTATATATAATTATTATTATTATAAAAAAATGCTGTATGTAGGTTATTAAATATGAGGATGTATACAGTGCAATGATGTAAGATACAAGAGGACTATGAATGTTCGATGAAAACAGACCATGCACAACTGCGTATTTACATCAGAGAGACAAATTTACTGCAGTGCTTAAAGGGTTATTCACCCAAAAATGAAAACTAGCTTGTGTTTTACTTACCCTCAAGGCATCCTAGGTGTATATGACTTTCTTCTTTGTTCTTTCAGATTAAGCCAGTCGGAGTTATATTAAAAATTGTCCTGGCTATTCCAAGCTCTATCATTGCAGTCAGCGGGTGTTGCAGTTGAACAGTCCACAAGTCGTCAAATAAAGCTCGCGCATTCATAATAAAATGTGCCGCAGATGGCTCCGGGGGATGAATAAAGGCCCCCTGTAGCGAATCCATGTGTTTCCATGTGAATCCATGTGTGTTCAAACATAATAAACACTTTTCTCTCACTTCTGCTGACTGTCATACACTGAAGCAGTTCCGGCGGATGACGCAGCACGTATGAGCAGCGCGCGCGCCTCTGAGGTATGCTAGTCTCGCGAGTTTGTTTATAGGAGCAAAGGAAGCAAAGTTTCCTTACTTTAGCAAAGGAAAGCCAGCCTCCTCTTGGTTTATATCGAAATCCTCCAAACTAGAGCTTGGAATAGCCAGGACAATTTTTAATATAACTCAGACTGGGTTCGTCTGAAAGAAGAAAGTCATATACACCTAGGATGCTTCGAGGGTAAGTAAAACACAGTCTAATTTTCATTTGTGGGTGACCTAACCCTTTAAGCAGAGATACTGCAGCTCTATAAACACACAGTAGCTCTGGCTATCATACCTCTGGAACATCACTAAATTATAGTCCAGACATTCTGTGGTCTTGTTTCAAAACACTTCAGTTAGCCTGAAACATTTAAATGCTGATATATATACAATCAGTAAACAAGACGCAGCTCATGCCCCACCCTACGGTGAAGAAAAAAAACAAGATTTGATCTGAGAGAGCATTAAGCCACACTTAAATCTAGTTACTCACATCTGAGCATTGCAACTGCCATTTTAAATGGATTTTGCTTCATTTATTCTAGATATAAGGTGTTCGTCATACAATCCACTGTCTGTGAAACTCTATGAGAACTGTTGCACCCATTCGTCAAAGTTGGACAAGGTCTCCATCTAGTGGATCCCAGCCACTGAGGACTGTATCTGAAACAATCACACACAAACTGCTCACCAAAGCTATTCCAAGGAGCAAGCAATAATTCCAGTGCTTCATGTAGAGAGTTTATCCTGCACTTACCCATCTCTGCTGAAAACCCGGATCCACGCCTGTACATTAGGACCCAGGATACAGAGACATCTCAATGTTGTGAGTGTGGACAGCAGCACAGCCAGAGAAAATGTTTCCAGAGCAGACCTACAATGTGATGCATGACTTATACACTGGTATTTTACATTCAACAAACAAATAAGCAACCGTGTACTTACTCGAGCAAAGGTGCACCGTATAGTACCACCACAGCATGAAAAAAGAGGCATGACAGTAAAAAGTACAGACAGGATCTGAACAATCTGTTGAGCTGTCAGAGAAATAAAGGAAACTCAACAAATTATGAAAGTCATCAATTATGTTTCCGTATAATTGCAGAACATTTTGCCCATCTCTATCTTGTAGCTCAGTGTGTTCTTCTTTGTTGGTGGGCTGATGCCAAGAAGCCAAAAGACTGCAATGTTGACCACAGCAACAGATCCAGCCACACAATGCAGCCAAACCATGTGGGTCCCATAAACAGAGAAGTTTTCCACAAACACAGCAGGCATCACAGTTGCCATGAAGATGGAGGAAGCAACAATGGCATGAGCCGATGCCATGCCCCTGATCTCATCATCCCACATTATGGAGGTTAAATGGTGCTACCTGATAAAGAACTATGAGATTAAATCAATGGGATGAATGAACGATTGCAAAAAAAAAAAAAAAAAGTCGTGTGCGTTACTTTCGAATTATTTCATATAAGGTCAAATAACATAAACACCGAAACGAACCCAACGTAATAATGAGACTGGCGATCTCCAGTTGTGAAAATAAAGGCAAAGGACACTATATTGCACACAGCTAAAATAAAAGATTAATTTAACGATTACTTACCAATGGAGTGGTGTGACTAGTTTAGGTTTATATCCACAAATAATTCCTAAATGAATGCTTTACCAGATTCATCGAGCACCTAAATAAATACGTACAAATTACAATCGTACCATTTCTAGACCGAATACCATAAGACTACAAATAAATATAAAAGTCGAACAGTTTATTTACAAAACATGACTGTCGTGTACTTCCGGTAGAATTAAGTCACCAACAATCACTCTCATCTATACAAAACCTAATAAAAGATTCTAATAATAAAAAAAGTCAATCTCATTATTATTATTATTATTATTATTATTATTATTATTATTATTATTATTATTATTATTATTATTATTATTATTATTATTATTATTATTATTATTATTATTATTATTATTATTATTATTATTATTATTATTATTATTATTATTATTATTATTATTATTATTATTATTATTATTATTATTATTATTATTATTATTATTATTATTATTATTATTATTATTATTATTATTCACTGTTACTGCACACTATTTTTTGTTTCTCGCTAAATACAACTACATTGAGTGGTATTTGTTAGGACCTTTATTTTGACAACGTATCATAATGCGTCACTACACTATGCAGTGTTTCTAGCTGAGTTGTGCCTCAGGACAGACAAGTATTATGAGAGAAATTCTTAGTTATCTGAAGATAACAGGATTATAAAGTAGAATTTAAATTTCATATTAATACTACCGGCTTTTTTTAATTTATTTAAAGTTTTTTTTTCTTTCTCCCTCTTTCATGTTAATGCTTCACACTCCAGTCCAGTTGGTGGCGGTAATACACCATAAGTTGGCTTGTCAACCGCCATTAAATTGAAC